AATTCCCAATCGTAGAAAATAATCGAATCGAATTGTTTACAAAGTTTGAAAAAATAATATTCAAAAAGTAATATTTCGAAACTGTTTAAAAAATTCACTAAAATTTCAAAAAAGATAACAAAAAGTGGAGTAAATTGAAAGAATTAGTTAAACGTTTATAAAGTATTTTAAATAATTTAAAGTTAATTAAATTTTTAAAGAATTTCAAAGCCATAGAGTTGATATTAGTTCTAACTACATGAGAATTTTCGTGAGTGTAAGAAAACTAAAAATCTAAAGTGTAAATTGCTTCGATATCTGTTTAATAACATAAAACTAAAACAAAGTTAAAAATTTCCTAAATATAAACAAATTAAGTGAAACATTTAAAGTCTTAAGAGCAACAAAGTTATGACAGAAAGCAATAAAATTTCAAAAATCTGAAATATATTTAAAACAAATAATAAAAGTTAACTAACTATTACTTTGAAAATACTTTAACAAATTTCATGAAAATAAACAACAGCTAAAGTTACAGCTTTAAAAAAGTTAAAAACACAATAAAGAAAATTTAATAAATTTTAAACAATACTACTACTACAAACAAAACTAAGCAATAAAACCAACAAAGGTAATCAATTAAGGCAAATAAACCAATAATATTATGAATTTATAAAAAAAATTAAATCATATTTGTCATAAGAAACCTTCAAAAAATGTATTTTTCTGCCTGAAAGAAAGAACTATAAAGGTCCTTTTAAAGCCTCAAGTGTTGGCTTTCATTGATAATTTCAACAATTAAAATATCTTTCTTGCAACCAAAGTTATAAAGATTTTTCTAACTTAACCTCTGAATCAATATTAATAATACGTCTTGTGGTACAAAAAGTTAAAATTTGAAAATACCTATTTACATTTAACGGAAAATATAAATTATGAATGCAAATAAAAATAGACTGGACTTTAGACAAAATTATAGACTAGCCTATTGACTTTAAGTTAGACTATAGAGTAGACTATAAACAAAATAATAGACTAGAGTTTAGATTAGAAGATAACAGACCAGAGTAAAGACCAGCCTATATACTAGACTATAGACTAGACTATAGACTAGACTATAGACTAGACTATAGACTAGACTATAGACTAGACTATAGACTAGACTATACTAGACTATAGACTAGACTAGACTAGACTATAGACTAGACTATAGACTAGACTATAGACTAGACTATAGACTAGACTATAGACTAGACTATAGACTAGACTATAGACTAGACTATAGACTAGACTATAGACTAGACTATAGACTACACTATAGACTAGACTATAGACTATCTATAGACTAGACTATAGACTAGACTATAGACTAGACTATAGACTAGACTATAGACTAGACTATAGACTAGACTAGACTAGACTATAGACTAGACTATAGACTAGACTATAGACTAGACTATAGACTAGACTATAGACTATACTATAGACTAGACTATAGACTAGACTATAGACTAGACTATAGACTAGACTATAGACTAGACTATAGACTAGACTATAGACTAGACTATAGACTAGACTATAGACTAGACTATAGACTAGACTATAGACTAGACTATAGACTAGACCATAGACTAGACTATAGACTAGACTATAGACGTGACTATAGACTAGACTATAGACTAGACTATAGACTAAGCTATAGACTAGACTATAGACTAGACTATAGACTTGACTATAGACTAGACTATAGACTAGACTATAGACTAGACTATAGACTAGACTATAGACTAGACTATAGACTAGACTATAGACTAGACTATAGACTAGACTATAGACTAGACTATAGACTAGACTATAGACTAGACTATAGACTAGACTATAGACTAGACTATAGACTAGACTATAGACTAGACTATAGACTAGACTATAGACTAGACTATAGACTAGACTATAGACTAGACTATAGACTAGACTATAGACTAGACTATAGACTAGACTATAGACTAGACTATAGACTAGACTATAGACTAGACTATAGACTAGACTATAGACTAGACTATAGACTAGACTATAGACTAGACTATAGACTAGACTAGACTATAGACTAGACTATAGACTAGACTATAGACTAGACTATAGACTAGACTATAGACTAGACTATAGACTAGACTATAGACTAGACTATAGACTAGACTATAGACTAGACTATAGACTAGACTATAGACTAGACTATAGACTAGACTATAGACTAGACTATAGACTAGACTAAACGCTAGTCTAAAGTTTATACTATAGACTGGAAAAGAGACTTCTTATTTTTATTTTTCCAAATCTTATAAGATGTGTAAACTAAATCTCCATTTTAAATCAATTTTATTGTAATGTAGTCAATATTCCGTAAATATTGTCTCTTTTCACTTAAAATTGTTTCTGAAATATTTCTAAATTTTTTCCTATTATTGCTATTTAAAATATTTTCCATTTAATTCATAAAAACCAACAATTTTAATATAATTTCTTTCAACAAAAAATATCTCTTGACTCAACGTTTTCTTCAGCTGTAAACAAGCGGAAAAGGAAATTACCATTATGGCCAACATGCTGGTTGTGTTGGTGTCTTAAACTAAGTGTAACCATGTATGTATGTGTGTGTATCGGTGGGTGAGCAACTCAATTGTCTTAAAGCATCATTAATCATTGTCTTTGTCAATGTGTGTATGTGTGCCAGAATGAGTTAAGAAGATACACACTGGCAAACACTAGAGCTATACTGAGTGTAGGTAACGGATACAGTGTCAGTTTAAATAACATCTAAATTGTTGGTTTTTTGCTCCCTTATTTCGTCCCTTTCTTACGCTGTTATAATTTTACTGCTGCTGTTTTACTTTTTAATCCTTTAAAAGTGAAAAAAGATAAATAAATCGCTTTAAATTGGAAATGAAGGAAGCAAGAAAAATGAATCATGTTTTTATTTTTCTTTTCGTTTTGCTAACTTAGCAAAATGTTAATAAAATGAAATGGAAATATTAGACTTCATATATCAATTCTACCAACAGAAAGAGATTTAAGAAAAAGTTGAATATTTTTTCAAAAGGACCAGCGATTCACTTAGACTAGACCACAGACTATTCTCTAGACTAGACTAAAAACTAGACTGTTTTGGTTTAGTTCCGTTCTAGTTCAGTTCAGCTTTAGTTCAGTTCTAGTTCAATTCTAGTTCAGTTCTAGTTCAGTTCTTGTTCAGTTCTAGTTCAGTTCTAGTTCAGTTCTAGTTCAGTTCTAGTTCAGTTCTAGTTCAGTTCTAGTTCAGTTCTAGTTCAGTTCTAGTTCAGTTCTAGTTCAGTTCTAGTTCAGTTCTAGTTCAGTTCTAGTTCAGTTCTACTTCAGTTCTAGTTCAGTTCTAGTTCAGTTCTAGTTCAGTTCTAGTTCAGTTCTAGTTCAGTTCTAGTTCAGTTCTAGTTCAGTTCTAGTTCAGTTCTAGTTCAGTTCTAGTTCAGTTCTAGTTCAGTTCTAGTTCAGTTCTAGTTCAGTTCTAGTTCAGTTCTAGTTCAGTTCTAGTTCAGTTCTAGTTCAGTTCTAGTTCAGTTCTAGTTCAGTTCTAGTTCAGTTCTAGTTCAGTTCTAGTTCAGTTCTAGTTCAGTTCTAGTTCAGTTCTAGTTCAGTTCTAGTTCAGTTCTAGTTCAGTTCTAGTTCAGTTCTAGTTCAGTTCTAGTTCAGTTCTAGTTCAGTTCTAGTTCAGTTCTAGTTCAGTTCTAGTTCAGTTCTAGTTCAGTTCTAGTTCAGTTCTAGTTCAGTTCTAGTTCAGTTCTAGTTCAGTTCTAGTTCAGTTCTAGTTCAGTTCTAGTTCAGTTCTAGTTCAGTTCTAGTTCAGTTCTAGTTCAGTTCTAGTTCAGTTCTAGTTCAGTTCTAGTTCAGTTCTAGTTCAGTTCTAGTTCAGTTCTAGTTCAGTTCTAGTTCAGTTCTAGTTCAGTTTCTAGTTCAGTTCTAGTTCAGTTCTAGTTCAGTTCTAGTTCAGTTCTAGTTCAGTTCTAGTTCAGTTCTAGTTCAGTTCTAGTTCAGTTCTAGTTCAGTTCTAGTCAGTTCTAGTTCAGTTCTAGTTCAGTTCTAGTTCAGTTCTAGTTCAGTTCTAGTTCAGTTCTAGTTCAGTTCTAGTTCAGTTCTAGTTCAGTTCTAGTTCAGTTCAGTTCAGTTCTAGTTCAGTTCTAGTTCAGTTCTAGTTCAGTTCTATTCAGTTCTAGTTCAGTTCTAGTTCAGTTCTAGTTCAGTTCTAGTTCAGTTCTAGTTCAGTTCTAGTTCAGTTCTAGTTCAGTTCTAGTTCAGTTCTAGTTCAGTTCTAGTTCAGTTCTAGTTCAGTTCTAGTTCAGTTCTAGTTCAGTTCTAGTTCAGTTCTAGTTCAGTTCTAGTTCAGTTCTAGTTCAGTTCTAGTTCAGTTCTAGTTCAGTTCTAGTTCAGTTCTAGTTCAGTTCTAGTTCAGTTCTAGTTCAGTTCTAGTTCAGTTCTAGTTCAGTTCTAGTTCAGTTCTAGTTCAGTTCTAGTTCAGTTCTAGTTCAGTTCTAGTTCAGTTCTAGTTCAGTTCTAGTTCAGTTCTAGTTCAGTTCTAGTTCAGTTCTAGTTCAGTTCTAGTTCAGTTCTAGTTCAGTTCTAGTTCAGTTCTAGTTTAGTTCTAGTTCAGTTCTGTTTTGTTCTAGAATATAGGACTGGACCACGAATTTTAATCAATATATTTAATTTATAAAAAATACCACAATTTACTCATTAAAGTTTTTTTCTTATTTCCATTGCAGTTTAAATTTAAAATCAATATTTTGCGTAAAATTATAAATAAATATTTTTTAAAAAATATAACAGTAAATAATTAAATAAAACTAACAAAAGCGTTTATTTACAAAAAAAAAAAAAAAAAAACAAAAACTGTAAATAAAACTCATTATTATAATTTTGCATTAAAACAATCAAACTCTCAGTGAAATGTATAATAAATCATTAATTAAAATCTGCAATAAAACGAATAACATAAAATGACATCAACACCATTGAATACACATTTCAAACAAGCAGCTGTCAGAAAGACAACAGCAACATCAGTATCAGCATTAACAGCAACAATAACATCATCATCACCATCATTATCGTCAGCAACAATGACATTAACAACACCACATTATCAAACAACAACAACAGCAAAAACGCCAACAATTGTGTCATTATCATGGCCATCACTATTAAGCTGCAGTCATTTCGTATTGCTGCAAGTGATTTTACCCTTAATTTATTTGTGCATCAAATGCCCAGCGTGTTGGCTGGTTCATGCCGTGAGGCACAATTGTGTTGCAATGGCCGTGATTCATCGTGTGTGGTGCAAAAGGCACCCATTAATGCCATCATTGAGGATTTAAGTGATAAACCTTGTTATTGTGATCATGCCTGCTTGAAATTGGGCGATTGCTGTAGTGATTTTAAAGATCATTGTGGAGGTAAGTGGAAGAGGAAAGTTTATGCACATTTTAAATGACGATTATAATAACAACAATAGTTTTGGGAGATTTAATAGGTTACGGATAAACACTTTTAAAACTTAAAACTTTTCACCGGAAGTTTTAAAATTGTAGAACTTGACAAAGAATTATGTTCGTAGTTCGTGTCCTAGATCGAGTTCAGATCTACTCCGGTTCTAGTTCTGTTCTAGTTCCGTTCTAGTTCTGTTCTAGTTCTGTTCTAGTTCTGTTCTAGTTCTGTTCTAATTCGTTCTAGTTCTGTTCTAGTTCTGTTCTAGTTCTGTTCTAGTTTGTTCTAGTTCTGTTCTAGTTCTGTTCTAGTTCTGCTCTAGTTCTGTTCTAGTTCTGTTCTAGTTCTGTTCTAGTTCTGTTCTAGTTCTGTTCTAGTTCTGTTCTAGTTCTGTTCTAGTTCTGTTCTAGTTCTGTTCTAGTTCTGTTCTAGTTCTGTTCTAGTTCTGTTCTAGTTTGTTCTAGTTCTGTTCTAGTTCTGTTCTAGTTCTGTTCTAGTTCTGTTCTAGTTCTGTTCTAGTTCTGTTCTAGTTCTGTTCTAGTTCTGTTCTAGTTCTGTTCTAGTTCTGTTCTAGTTCTGTTCTAGTTCTGTTCTAGTTCTGTTCTAGTTCTGTTTAGTTCTGTTCTAGTTCTGTTCTAGTTCTGTTCTAGTTCTGTTCTAGTTCTGTTCTAGTTCTGTTCTAGTTCTGTCTAGTTATGTTCTGTTCTGTTCTAGTTCTGTTCTAGTTCTGTTCTAGTTCTGTTCTAGTTCTGTTCTAGTTCTGTTCTAGTTCTGTTCTAGTTCTGTTCTAGTTCTGTTCTAGTTCTGTTCTAGTTCTGTTCTAGTTCTGTTCTAGTTCTGTTCTAGTTCTGTTCTAGTTCTGTTCTAGTTCTGTTCTAGTTCTGTTCTAGTTCTGTTCTAGTTCTGTTCTAGTTCTGTTCTGTTCTAGTTCTGTTCTAGTTCTGTTCTAGTTCTGTTCTAGTTCTGTTCTAGTTCTGTTCTAGTTCTGTTCTAGTTCTGTTCTAGTTCTGTTCTAGTTCTGTTCTAGTTCTGTTCTAGTTCTGTTCTAGTTCTGTTCTAGTTCTGTCTAGTTCTGTTCTAGTTCTGTTCTAGTTCTGTTCTAGTTCTGTTCTAGTTCTGTTCTAGTTCTGTTCTAGTTCTGTTCTAGTTCTGTTCTAGTTCTGTTCTAGTTCTGTTCTAGTTCTGTTCTAGTTCTGTCTAGTTCTGTTCTAGTTCTGTTCTAGTTCTGTTCTAGTTCTGTTCTAGTTTGTTCTAGTTCTGTTCTAGTTCTGTTCTAGTTCTGTTCTAGTTCTGTTCTAGTTCTGTTCTAGTTCGTTATAGTTCTGTTCTGTTCTGTCTGTTCTGTTCTAGTTCTGTTCTAGTTCTGTTCTAGTTCTGTTCTAGTTCTGTTCTAGTTCTGTTCTAGTTCTGTTCTAGTTCTGTTCTAGTTCTGTTCTAGTTCTGTTCTAGTTCTGTTCTAGTTCTGTTCTAGTTCTGTTCTAGTTCTGTTCTAGTTCTGTTCTAGTTCTGTTCTAGTTCTGTTCTAGTTCTGTTCTAGTTCTGTTCTAGTTCTGTTCTAGTTCTGTTCTAGTTCTGTTCTAGTTCTGTTCTAGTTCTGTTCTAGTTCGTTCTAGTTCTGTTCTAGTTCTGTTCTAGTTCTGTTCTAGTTCTGTTCTAGTTCTGTTCTAGTTGTTCTAGTTCTGTTCTAGTTCTGTTCTAGTTCTGTTCTAGTTCTGTTCTAGTTCTGTTCTAGTTCTGTTCTAGTTCTGTTCTAGTTGTTCTAGTCTGTTTAGTTCTGTTCTAGTTCTGTTCTGTTCTAGTTCTGTTCTAGTTCTGTTCTAGTTCTGTTCTAGTTCTGTTCTAGTTCTGTTCTAGTTCTGTTCTAGTTCTGTTCTAGTTCTGTTCTAGTTCTGTTCTAGTTCGTTCTAGTTCTGTTCTAGTTCTGTTCTAGTTCTGTTCTAGTTCTGTTCTAGTTCTGTTCTAGTTCTGTTCTAGTTCTGTTCTAGTTCTGTTCTAGTTCTGTTCTAGTTCTGTTCTAGTTCTGTTCTAGTTCTGTTCTAGTTCTGTTCTGTTCTGTTCTAGTTCTGTTCTAGTTCTGTTCTAGTTCTGTTCTAGTTCTGTTCTAGTTCTAGTTCTGTTCTAGTTCTGTTCTAGTTCTGTTCTAGTTCTGTTCTAGTTCTGTTCTAGTTCTGTTCTAGTTCTGTTCTAGTTCTGTTCTAGTTCTGTTCTAGTTCTGTTCTAGTTCTGTTCTAGTTCTGTTCTAGTTCTGTTCTAGTTCTGTTCTAGTTCTGTTCTAGTTCTGTTCTAGTTCTGTTCTAGTTTGTTCTAGTTCTGTTCTAGTTCTGTTCTAGTTCGTTCTAGTTCTGTTCTAGTTCTGTTCTAGTTCTGTTCTAGTTCTGTTCTAGTTCTGTTCTAGTTCTGTTCTAGTTCTGTTCTAGTTCTGTTCTAGTTCTGTTCTAGTTCTGTTCTAGTTCTGTTCTAGTGTTCTAGTTCTGTTCTAGTTCTGTTCTAGTTCTGTTCTAGTTCTGTTCTAGTTCTGTTCTAGTTCTGTTCTAGTTCTGTTCTAGTTCTGTTCTAGTTCTGTTCTAGTTCTGTTCTAGTTCTGTTCTAGTTCTGTTCTAGTTCTGTTCTAGTTCTGTTCTAGTTCTGTTCTAGTTCTGTTCTAGTTCTGTTCTAGTTCTGTTCTAGTTCTGTTCTAGTTCTGTTCTAGTTCTGTTCTAGTTTATTGTTCTAGTTCTGTTCTAGTCTGTTCTAGTTTCTGTTCTAGTTCTGTTCTAGTTCTGTTCTAGTTCTGTTCTAGTTCTGTTCTAGTTCTGTTCTAGTTCTGTTCTAGTTCTGTTCTAGTTCTGTTCTAGTTCTGTTCTAGTTCTGTTCTAGTTCTGTTCTAGTTCTGTTCTAGTTCTGTTCTAGTTCTGTTCTAGTTCTGTTCTAGTTTGTTCTAGTTGTTCTAGTTCTGTTCTAGTTCTGTTCTAGTTCTGTTCTAGTTCTGTTCTAGTTCTGTTCTAGTTCTGTTCTAGTTCGTTCTAGTCTGTTCTAGTTCTGTTCTAGTTCTGTTCTAGTTCTGTTCTAGTTCTGTTCTAGTTCTGTTCTAGTTCTGTTCTAGTTCTGTTCTAGTTCTGTTCTAGTTCTGTTCTAGTTCTGTTCTAGTTCTGTTCTAGTTCTGTTCTAGTTCTGTTCTAGTTATGTCCTAGTTCAATTCTAGCTCAGTCTTCTTTGAATACTTGCAACAAAAATTTATATTCATTTAGATTTTGAGTCGCCGTGACGTATGAGTAATATTTTATTTAGAAGATTACTTAAGAATAAACAACATAAATTGTCATTCAAATAAGCTGTTATTTTAAAGAAGATTTAGTGATTTAATTGTTAATACAAGTTAATTAGCAGTTTTCTATAGTGAAAGTTTAAGTTTTTTTTTTTTAATTTAAACCAATTTGTATATTATTGTTGTTATTTGTGTTACTAAATATCATAATACTTTTGCTAAGCTTTATTTGCTACAGTTTTTCCTAATAAACTTTTTTGTATTTTTTTCTTTTTTTGGCATAATCAACAGCCCAAACATGTTGTTTAACAAGAATATATTTGTTGAGTTCTTGTTTTCTTATGCCTTTCATTTTTTTTTTTTTTTTTGGCAAGAAAATGAAATTTTCTACAAACAATTTTTTGTCATTCATAAAATTTAACTATCACACATACACCCTCTCTCTCTCTCTCCCTTGCACAAATGGTGTTAGTATTTGTGTTAGCCAAACACATGTAGAGACCAATTTGTAGTCGGTTGGTGTATGTATGTGTGTGTGCATATGTTTTAGAGATTTTTGTCCGTAATTGATTACAACCGACAGACAGTTGGCATAAGAGAAAAGAAATGTAATAGAGCAAAACTTAAGAAAAAAGTTTATTTCTTATATTTGTTTCCTCTAAGGCTGATTAACATTTGTTTTCTTCCCCCTTTTATTTCTGATTATTGCTAACAAGGATTATTTAATAGGGTTTATATGACAGTTTTTGTATTTCAAAAGGATTTTAAGAGGTTGTTTGTTTGTTTTTTTTATAGCATACTTTAGAGGAGAGCAAGGTTAAGGAAAAGGATATAGTAAGATTTAAAGGTATTAGGAACTTGGTCTTTAGCTTCTCTGGAAAGATACCTTCACCTATTAAGTTATCCTATAATTTTTGTCTTTTTATGTTTTTTTTTCCTGTAAAAACCTTGTTTTTCATTATTTTTTGGTTGCTGTTCCTTCTTTTGTTTTCTTTCCTTTCTCTACTCATAATATCTGTATGTGTTTGTGTTAACCATAAAAAGTAATTTTTGTTTAAGTTTGTGATTGTTAGATTGTTATGGGTTTTAGTTTTAGTTTTTTTCTTCCACAGTTTTTGTTGAGGTTTTCCTTTTAGGAAATGCTTACTAATTAATATGGTTTGTGTTTTTTGCTGTAGTTTTCTGCTTTTATTTTTGGGTGTAACAATAACCATTGCTAATTAAGGCTCACTTAACATAATTAATATTATAATAATAATATGGGGTTTTTCCTCTGGGGTTTAACTATTGATTTTAAGACTAATTAAATTTAAGCATTCAGTTAAATGTTAAATATTAAAACAAAAGTTATATGTAGAAGCAAAAGTTAAACAAAATGTTGAAATTATAGACTTGAAAGGAAATTTGAATAAAAATCTATCCTATAGTCTAGTCTAGTTTAGTCTAGTCCGTAGCTTTGTTTTTAGTTTCGTCTATAGTCTAGTCTATAGTCTAGTCTATAGTCTAGTCTATAGTCCAGTAGTAGTCTATAGTCTAGTCTATGTCTAGTCTATAGTCTAGTCTATAGTCTAGTCCATAGTCTAGTCTATAGTCTAGTCTATAGTCTAGTCTATAGTCTAGTCTATAGTCTAGTCTATAGTCTAGTCTATAGTCTAGTCTATAGTCTAGTCCATAGTCTAGTCTATAGTCTAGTCTATAGTCTAGTCTATAGTCTACTCTATAGTCTACTCTATAGTCTAGCCTATAGTCTAGTCTATAGTCTA